CTCTTCCGATCTCCCCAAAACCCCAAAACCCCTTGAGATTAAATTTAAGATTATTGAAGAAGTTGAATTTTTAAGTAAATTAATTAGGATCACCAATAAATATCTTACAATGCTTATTTTTCAAAAGTAATTATATATGTTTCCCATTTAACAAGAGTAAGAGTAGCTTTGGAAGCTAGTCACATCCAATTAATTATTTCCATTAGCTGTCTATAAAGAATCCACAACTTACTATGAATTGTTATTGTACGAATTATCATATTGAGAAGAAGATTTCAACCTATTTCTGCTTTCAGAATTAGCAGACTATGATTAATTGTAATTATGGCTTTAACTTTTAGCTAAATCTGAGTCTTTTACTCCACTTTCATCATCTGAACTGCTATCATGTTCATCTTCACTAGTTTATTCAGATGATTTATCCTCCTCATCAATGTCATTTCTAGCACTTGAAAGGCTATATTAACCCTTCTAAATAGAAATCTCATCCATCTCTTCATTAATGATTTTCATGTTTGAAGTAGCAGAGAAAAATGGCTGAATGTACAAATCCTTTTCAGTTGAATTTTATTCCATTTCACTAAATTATCTCTTTGTACCAACACTAAGCAACTATTCTCTTCTTTTCAAAGGCATTCTACTTTGGTTAAATTTAGTTAGAGCACTAATTGGGTGATCATTATAGATAAAAGATTTAAGAATCCCACCTGATCTATTAGAGTCATTCAAGTTTTCATTATTTTTGGAAATAGAATTTTAATTTCTGCTAACAACTTAAAGAATCTTATTGCTGCTATTGTCAAAGTTAATCTGCCTTCCTGCATGCTAAGAATTCAAACAGCTTTCCTTATAAGCATTTGACTTTTACCCTGACAAGAGTTTTAAGAAGCTAAAATTCATAAAGTTTATCAATTTTACCTCTGCTTTGGATAGTCTTGAACTATCTGGCTGGACTCTTAAGGAGTATCAAGTCTCAATGAATTTTCATCATTTACTTTATTTTTAGACTCTGTGCTGGAAGCAGGAATCATTGGTCTTTTAATCACATCATTATTGATGTTTGGAGAGCATCATTATCTCAAAGGGTCACTTTTCATGTAATATTAGATATCCTATGAAACTGTATTTCGAGGTATATTCATTTTATAGCTATCTTTTTTAACACTACTAAAGCTTAGTTTAGTCTCTTGCTTAATTGGGGAAAGCTTTTTCTTGTGAGTTTGGATGAACAACTCATAAGCTTTTTGCTCTTGAGCTAGAAACTCATATTATGTAGTAGCCCTATCTCTTTTAAGTTAATCAAATTAAGCATCAATCTCATTATAGTATGCCTGATTCATCTAATTCATTTTGTATTTATGCTATACTGTTGAAATATGTGTAAAATATGAGTGAAACATGTCTGAACATGCTTCACAATACTTTTGAGGTGGTATTGGTTCGGGAATATTTTCTTAAATACAATCATCTGAACTCTAAGAAAGCCCTTTATTATGATTTTAGACATGATCATGGTATCTTCTTTCAATTTGAGAAAATTGCTCTTAATTCTCCTTATACTGAGATTCTGTTAAGAAAACATGTGAACCTAGAGGAGTATTTCTCTTAAACTTTGGAACATCAACTGATATTCAATTTTTTGGGGGTTATCCATTAGTCTCAAGAGATTAGTGTTCTATTAAATCTAATTCATGTATTACACATTCATGGTTATTTCTTGATCCTTTGTCAAGACCTATTAGCACAAAAGCCCTATGGATCATACCATTCTAATTCAATTTCTCTAATCTTTTGGTTATATCTTTCTTTATAAACCACTATGGATACTGACTACTCTTAAGATATTTCCTGTATAGTTTGAAATCTCTATATCTCAATACTGTTTTCGACGGGTCCTCTAAGATTTTTCTAGTGATCTCAAAGAAATCTTGTTCTGGTGTTATTTAACTAGCTTGTCCTTGGGATTTTTATTCAGTAGACTAATGGAAAGGTAAGGGGATAGATTTCTGTTGACTATTAAGCAGAAGTCTTTATCTTTTATTGAGATATTGACCAGTATTTTTAGCCGCCTGACTTGTAGTATTTAAATTCGCCTCGTTTCTATTCGAGTTCATCCTATTAAGATTACAATCTCGTAGAAGGCTTTAGAGACTATTAGGCATTAAAGATCTTGTTTAGCTTTGAGGCAAGTCTTGTGAAGCTCCTTAGTAGCTGTGAATTTAGCCATTTTAAGATTCTTGTATCTTCTTTTAGTGATTATAGTAAGTGGGTAAAAGATCATCATCCACAATAATCATTGTGTCTTTCCAGTCAAAAGCTACTCGCCCACCCAATTGCTTTACTTTTGTAGATATCTTGACTCTCTCATTCTCATATTTTTCAAATGGTAAATGCAAGTAGAAAACCTATTGCAGTCTATATTCAGAATACTGGTAAACTCTCTACTATTTAGACCCTATAGGGGTTGCAGACTTCAAATTATTAGTCTGTTAAGTTAGTTTTCACATAAGCATTTCTAGAGATTCCTCACATCTTGCATTAAACTCTTATTGGATGATCTATTGATTTTGAATTTAGAGAGAAAAATGCAAAGTAGGCTTACCTCAAAAGATGATTCAGTGAGCTGTGTGAGATTTGGTTAAATTTCAGATAATTGGGATTTTATGTGAGATTAATAGGGAGGCTAACTCATTTTTATAATATAGGAGTAAATTTATATTAAGAGCTTTAATAAATATCCTAATTAAAATAGATTGATTTAATTGGTTGATTCCGATTTATCACCCTCATTCCGGGGTTTTGGGGTTTTGGGGTTTTGGGGTTTTGGGG